CGAATTCCTGATTAGCCATGTTGAATTTTCTGTCAAGTACAAGATGGGCAGGGACAAAGCTTGCCAGTTCTCAAATCTGTCCTGGAAGGACCACCTGGAAAGGGAATCCGGGCCATTCCGCAGGCCCACCTCAGGGGGTGCAGGTGCACACATTCACACCTTGCAGAAGCCTTTAACTTCCACTTATTATACCTAACGACTGTAAGTGAGCCTTTTAAATATCTCTCTTAATTCTGACCTTTCATGCTTCTGTTTGTATGCTGCAGGGGACGTGGTTATTGCCAGAAGCATGGGTACTAGACAGTTTAAGGCCAGAAAAGAGGCCCTGGCTTAAATGTCACACTGTGATGGTCTTGGAGCCACCAGCTCCAGGGTTGGCAGACACCTGTGCTCAGGTCTGGGCTCCCACCTCACTCTGGGCCATGCCCCCTTATATGCTCTTGGTTGCAGTATAAATTATTTTACACTGGTAAAAAGTCTAAGATAAATGTGAAAAGAACAACTTCAGGTTAGTTCTATGATGTGGAAAAAAAATTTGGCTTAAATAGAAAATTAATCGGATGCAGCAAACATACAGCATTTAACAAATGAGCCCGTTGGTTACCTGTAAGCAGAAAGCATTAACCTGCTGGCTCTCTCTTTACTTTTTATTATAGCTGGCATTACAAAAGCTTAATCATTTCCAGCCATCATTAGAAACTAGAAATTATGGCTCTAAAATATCACCTATTAAATGTTGAGTATTCCCAAAGTCAGGTCTATTAATTATGATATTTTTGCCTCATTACACATTTTGGCAGTTTGGTTATTACCTGCTTATAGTTCAAACTTAATGGGATTCGAGAGCAGTAGTGACCTCTACCACAGGACTTTTCCACCATGAGATAAAATACAACTTAAAAAAAATACTGTGGTGCATAGTACAGCAGCACTCGCAGTAAATACTCAGGATGCCAGGATTTTGCTTAAAGTTTAATTCTTGCATTTTGCCTTGCATTTGCCATTATGAACTAAAACAGACAATTTTTAAAATGAAACTGGTCTGAAGTGTGAGAGATTTTGATGGCAGATAGTTGTCTCTGTTAGTGAAACACCTAACTCACAAGCCAAGGAAGCAGCATGGGATGAAATGGTGATTTTTAAAAAAGGCATCGATGCCCCTGTGATGCTTTAGACCCCTGCTTTGCAGCCCTGGGTGTGTGTGTGTGTGTGTGAGAGAGAGAGAGAGAGAGAGAGAGTGTACGTGTGTGAGTGTGTGTGTGTGTGTCTTCTGTCACATCATCTATGCTCTGAGTCCTTTCAGAGATCTGCACCTTTGACAGTTCAACTCTTAGCTTTTGTCGTCTTTCCTGGGAGTGCGTCTCTGGCCTCTGCATGGTTCTTCATCCCGTGTGCTGAGCATGCTTTCCTCCCATCCCCACAACCCCGATGGTGGACCTCAGGGCTTTGCTGATTTTCCTGCTTTCCTTCCAGTGCACCATTCCTAACCTGTGGGACTGTCACCTGTGGGCCCTGTCCTTGGCCATCCAGCTTTGTCTGCCAGCACCTGTGCCCACTGTGGTGGTGCTCGCAGATGTCTCTGAGGACAGAGGTGGCTTGGCTGGCAGAGCCCTCCAGGTGAGGGCTGAGGCTGGGCTGGTTCTGCCTTCTGGCTCGGGCTGCAGAGACTTCCCCTTGTTCTATAGCAGATGTGAAAACACTGCCGTGGGGACACCGACTTATGTCCTTTGACTTATGTTCTCAAGCCTGGGACTGGGTTTGGAGAACCTGACTTGTTCTACACAGCTCCCGGGCTCTGGAAGCTCCTTCATAACACCAATCACCTACCTGCTCACTGTGTGTTTATTCTGCAGCCTCCCTGCACCTGCCTGGTGCTGGGGGCAGATCCTCAAGTAGACAAAACAGAAAAAAAAATCTGCTCTCTCCAAGCTTATATTCCAATGGAGGAAGATAGAAAATATCTTATTTTTTTAAAAAAGCAATATGTTAGATGACAGATGTTTTATAAAAAAATCAACCAAAGCGGGAAGAGTCAACAGTGACAGGGTTGGAGACTACATTGTCACATAGGATGCTTGGGGACACCCTCCTCAGAAGGTGGCTGGGAGCAGAGACTTGAAGTAGGCTCAGGGCAGTAATGAGCAGTAAGGGCAGTGCAGGCTGAGTAGGTGCAAGAGCCCTGAGGCAGGTGAGTATCTGGGGACTTACAGGAGCAGTGCTGGGGTTGGTGTTGGGGGATGAGGTTCGAGAGACTGGGGTGGGTAGATCACATGGGGCCAGGAAGATTTTGTGAAGACTTTGACTGTTATTCTGAGTAAAAGTCAGTGCCAAGCCTCAGTACAAAATAATGGATGATAAATACCTGAGAGGCTGTGGGGAGGAACTTAGGGATGGGAACTCAGTGCTTGGCAGGTGGCGCTGGCTCTCCTGAGTGCTGAACTAGGTTTTTAGACATGAACGCTCTGGGGGCAGGGCCTATGGCTCTGTTGTGCCTTCAACATTAACCCCCAGGCCTGGCACAGCCCCTGGTGCGCAGGAAGGCCTGTCAGGTTCACTGAGCATCGGCCTCGTCTACCTTTACTCTAAAAAGCATTCGGAGTGATTTTCATTCACCCACATTTAGCCCGTCTTTACTTTTTGTCTCCTACGTAAACAGGACCCTTGCCTTTTGCCTTCTCCACGGGGATTTTTTTTGCATGAAAATAATTGGATATCAAATGTGGACGTCAGAGGACGTGGCATTGTTCTGGCTGTGACGGGCCCTTCTCTCCCTCTGACCTTCCCTTTCTGACACAGGCTCAGGGCTCTTGGGAGGACAAGGGAACTGCCACATGACAGTGCTCTTTGAGAACGTAGTGGCCATGTGTTGGGGACCAGGTGGCCTCTACTGTGGGAAGGGGGACATGCTGGCTCAGGCTGTGCCTGGCACCTCTTTCGAGGAGCCCCATGTTCCCCCAGGATGAGCCGTGATGACAGCAGAGACCCCAGGGCCTCTCTGGCCACAGCGCGGTGCTCCTCGCCAGGCAGCACCCTTCGCTAAGCTGTGCGGTGAGGCCGGGCTCCCAGGATCAGCTCTTGTGTGAATCCTTGTCGTTTAACGTGTACCTGTTTTCTGTCTGCACGCATGAAAATCCCTTTTAGTGTCTAGGCCAACCTCAGATGTTTTTAAAGTTGATTTACGGAGCAGCATAGCTTTATTGTCCTCTTTGTTCTAGCTAATTAAATCCTTCCTTCTTCCTGTCAAACAATTCCTGAGGTGACACCGTTCCACGAGGCCTTCCTAAAAATAAATCAGCCACGAGCTAACGTCGTGACCAAATGAGCCATTCACATCCTCCCCAGCACACACGGCTTCCCAGATATCAATCCACCAATCTGTGTCTCTCTCTTTCAACATCTTAAAGTCCTCCCATGTATTCTGCGTCCCTTGGCATAACAGGGATAGCAAGTGGTGCAGCTAAGTCCCTGCATTCATGGAACTCATGTTTTTGTGGGATAGAAGAAAGGGACTATTTTAGATTGCATAGTAGGGAAGTCTTCTCTGAGGTGGTGAACTAAATGAAATGAGGGAGAGAGCCATGCCAAGTCTGGAGAAAGTCATCCCAGTCAGAGGGCCAGTAGGCACAAAGGCCCTGGGGTGGTAATGAGCTTGGCCACAGTCAAGGGACAGAAAGTGAGAGGGAGGGTGCAGGGCAGGAGAAAGGTCCACGGGAGTAGAAGACCTCAGAAGGTAGGTAGGAAGGGCCCAGATTAGCAAGGGCTTTGTCTTCCTTGGAAAGAGTGTTTTACTTTGATTTGATAGATGATCAATATTTTAAATTATTAATGTTTGAGCATCTCTTCAGGGACTATCCCAGCCACTCTTATCTGAGATTCTGTGATGGAATTGCCAAGTAATAGCACAGAATTAATGTGGTGTTTTCGGAGCTTCATTTGATTCAATCCCAAATCCCTTGCTGTTTCTTAAGGAGCTGGTTGGAAATTGTTAGATGAGGATAATTAGCAGAAGGAGTAGCCGTTTCACCAGGCAGAATTCTACCCACGTGTGTTTATGTGTGTGAACTCATTTCAACAAGAGAATTGAGGGCCCCGTTTCTCTGTCATCTACTCTGTACTGAATCCTTTTTGCAATCAGCTCTGCAAAGCCCAGGGTACAGCAGCCAGAGATCTCATTTTCTTTTATCACAGAAACAAATCATAACTGAATAGTACTGAGACGTACCTGACCCCTTTTGTGGCCTCCAGAGGAGCAGTCGATCTTTCTCCATTGTTTTCTAGTGTCCCCAAGTACCAACAAATGGCCCCCCTAGAGGTCAGCGGCAAAGGACTCGGAGATAAACTCTTTCCTCGTGAAGACATATAACCAAATTTTTGTCTTCCATTATCTATTGGGGGTCACATGTCTTTGTAATCACTCTCCAAAATAATGAGGTAAAGATGTCATTAAATTCTATTAAGCACCCCCCTTCCAGCTTCAGTTCTCATGCAAATAGTGATGCTATTGAATTAATAGGGTTGCCAAGCAGGAAGGAAATTGGGAGACCCAGGTAAGCCCACTCTGTAGGGCAGGGAAATTGGTCCATCATTGCCCACGAGGAAACTTTGCAAAGGTCCAGGATATGAAAAAGGAGATTCCAATTTAGATTCCTGAAACCTTTGTCATGACAGACAGCTACAAATGTCAAATTTGGTTTTTTCCTAATAAGCCTCGGTGTTAACGATTTTTGTTTTAGAAAATTCTTCCAAATAACGGGATCCTGAAATCAGCAGTATTTGGGGTTTGGGGTTGGGGGAAGGCTGTTCTCCACTGCAGTTTCACAGGCTGGGTGCCTGTTCTCTGCAGCAAGGTCAGTGTTGGGATGACCTTGGGAAACACATAACTGAGAACAGAGGAACAGCGTTTCCACAACACGGTGACTCTGAGACTGGAGCTAATTTCCCAGTGATCGCACCGCTTTTCTTATGAGGGAATAATTGACCCATTTATGGTCTCGTTTCAGCTCGTTGCAGATCCTTGTGCCAGCAGCCCTTGTCGCCATGGCAACTGCAGCAGCAGCAGCAGCAGCCCCAGCAGCAGCAGCCGCAGCAGCAGCAGCAGCAGCAACAGCGATGGCTACCTCTGCACTTGCGACGAGGGCTATGAAGGTCCCAACTGTGAACAGGCACTTCCCAGTCTCCCAGCCTCTGGCTGGACCGAGTCCATGGTGCCCAGACAGCTTCAGCCTGTCCCTGCCACCCAGGAGCCTGACATAATCCTGCCACGCTCTCAGGCAACAGTGACACTGCCAACCTGGCAGCCGAAAACTGGGCAGAAAGTTGTAGAAATGAAGTGGGATCAAGTGGAGGTGAGCTCATGGTATGGTGTATATTTTCACATAAGAAACCAGAAACATTAAGATAATTCTAGTGGTTCTTATCTGAGCAATAAAGATGGAAGACCTATAAAGTTTTCTATTGAACCAAAACGTGGGTAATGTTATTCTGTACCTGTGTGTATCATGGCTTTGCAAGCATGAAAAGAGTCAATGAAAACCAAAGTGAAGGAGGTTATTTTCTGGAGTGATATCCACATACATTTCTGTGAGATAATCTTTGATTTGGGGGCAGACACCTCAGTGTAGAGTCAAATAATCAAGTCATTGTTGAACTGATTTTCCTTCCTAGGGTATGTCTTAGTCTGTTTGGGCTGCTGTAACCAAAACACATAAACTAGCTGGCTTATAAACAACAGATGTTTATTCCTGACAGTTCTGGAGACCAGGAAGTCCGAGATCAGGGCAGATTTGGAGCCTGGGGAGGGCCCACTTACTCATAGAAGTGCCTTCTGACTGTAACCTCATATGGTTCAAGGGGGACCAGGATCCCTCAGGCCTCATTTATAAGGAGTTAGTCCCATGCATAGGGCTTTTCCCTCGTGAGCTAATGACCTGCCCAAGGCCCTGCCTCCTAATACTATCAGCCTGGGAGTTAGGGTTTTAATATGTGGATTTGGGACAATACAAACCTTTAAAGACCTGATTTTTTTTCTGTTATCATATTAATGTTTAGTTTTTATTTTTGGTATCTTGCAATATTTCCACGGGATTTAGTCTATCAGTTTGGCTGTTATACCTTCAATCTCTTCTAAAGTCTCATCCTGCTGGGCATGGTGGCACATGCCTGTAGTCCCAGTGACTCCTGAAGCTGACAAGACAATTTTGGGTTCAAAGCCAGCTTTAGCAACTTAGCAAAGCCCTAAGCAACTTCACCAGACCCTGTCTCTCAATAAAAAATGAAAACGGGCTGAGGAGGTGGCTCAGTGGTTAAGCACCCTGGGTTTGATCTCAGGTACCAAAATAAGTCTCATCCTGCAGATTTTTTGACAGGCTTCTAAAAGTTGACATAAAGTATAATTTTGCTGGCTAGAAAAGTTGGAAGGCGAATCCACATCAAGAATCTGAGGTGACATTGGTAGAGCATAATTCCACCCCACATCTTTCACTATATGTATCTAACATCCACATAAACCCAGTGACCTATTATCACAAATTTCATAGCTTGAAAAACACATGGGTCTTTGTGAAGCATGTATTAGAGTTGAGGAAGGTGTCTAAAAATGTCCCTGATATTGTAAAGGTGGCAGTGAAGTTTCTTCTCCTATTTTCTTGCTTGCTAACCGGTTGACCCACTTCTTTTTAGTGCCGCTCAGTTTACGAAGGCCTCGTTCCGACTGCAGGGCAGTGGTTCCAGCTACCTAAAACGCTGTGAAACTGGTTCTGATTTCAGACTCTTAATAAGTGCTTTGAAGTTAGGATTTGAATACCTCCTTGCGGGATGACGCCTTTATTGAATGTGAACTAGATTTGATTCCAAGTTTATCAAGGAAGCATCCTTTAAAGAAAATCTCTCCCCCACCAGCCATTTCAATCTATTTATTTAAAGTCATGCTTTCCTCAGACGGAAAGTGTAAAGAAGAAATGCTCCATCTTGTCGTTGTGCTCTTTGTCTTGGGCTATTGGGCTGTTGAAGAAGAGGTTCAGCAGGAAATGTGGGGATGCGCTTGGGCTTCCCTTTTTCATGAAGTAATGCTGCTTTGAAAACATGAAGCTATTTGGGGCTTAGAGGACTGAAACTCAACGACCAGTGTCTTTTCCACGAATTTAACAATTTAAATTTAAAATGGAAGTCTTTGAGTATCAAAGGTGGATTTTAGCCACAGAATGTAGCTCTAGGGTGTTCTGGCAAATAAGTGTTGGGGGAAATTCCTGACCATTTCTCTATTGTTTTCAGTAGATTCTGTGATGGGGAAGTATTTTCATACTCCTGTTTTCCCTGCTCTAGGTGAAGACAATTAGTTAATTAATTCAATTTAAAAATGTAGGTGTGGCCCTCAGGAGAGAAGAAGGGCAGCTTCCCTGCATGGGCAGCTGATGCCTGTTGGCCCAGGGAGCTGGGCCAGGTGCTCCCTGTCCTTGCAGGTGTGAAGGTGTGCTCTCCTGGGCACTAACACTCACACCCACAATCCCTCCCGTTCTGTAAGCATTCAGTCCCTTGTCAGCACCAGGATGCGCAAGGAACAGAGAATGAAAAAGAATAGGGAGTGAGACCGTGACTCTTTTCCTAAAATAGTGTATTTATCCATTTTTAAAGTCCTGGAAACCCATAGACTGCTCTTGTGGGAGCTGCAGTTCATAAAGTCGGGGCAAAGTCTCCTCTTCTTTCAAGGCCTAGGGATGCATGTGTTCCTTCCAGCAGGACAGCAGCCTCATCTGGAGAGGCACAGGGGTTGCGGCTCACGGAATTGTGCTTTGCGACCTTGTCTTGTACCGTGATCAACCCAATAGCATGTCCTCCTTTTCTCCAGGTGGTCCCCGACAGCGCCTGTGGGAATGCCAGCTCTAACAGCTCTGCAGGTGGCCGCCTGGTGTCCTTCGAAGTGCCACAGAACACCTCAGTAAAGTAAGAAGATTCTTGGTCGAAATTTGTTAAGATTGCGGGGCGCGGTGGTGCATACCTGTGGTCCCAGTGACTCAGGAGGCTGAGGGAGGAGAATTGAGAGTTCCAGCTCAGCCTGGGTGGTTTAGCAAGACCCTGTCTCTATAGAAATTAAAAAGGGCTGGAGATGTAGCTCTGAGGTAGAGCACCCCTGGATTCAATCCCCAGTACTGCAGAAAATAAAAAAACAGTCACCAAAACCTGAAAAAACACAATAGCCATCCAAACCACCCACTCCCACAGAACAGCTGCTAAGCTTGGTACTAGCACCTGTGTGCTGGGTGGTGCCCATAAATGTACCTGTCAGCACCAGGATGCGCAAGGATCACTGTAAAAGGCAGTGGTCTGCAGAATCATGAACAGAGTCCATAGGTAGACGCAGCCTATGCTGCTTGAAACCTGGAGGAAGCTGTCTCAGAAGAGGACTTCAGAGTTGGGACCCAGGGGGCTGGAGATGTGCAGGGAGGAGACTGGATTGCCTGAGGCTAATGTGGGGGACAAAGCCCTGATGAGACCTGGAACCAGGCACCTCATCTCCCACATGACTGTGGCTTCCAGAATTACTGGCCTCTTAAGATATTAATAGAACATTTGGTTAAATTCATTTGCATAATTTATCCCAAATTTAAAATTCTCACATTACAATTTTCTCCCTTCAAAGCAAGCAACTGAGTGTTGTGTTTTGTCTTAAGTTTAAGTTTCTTCAATCACAAACTGCTCATGGTCCCCAGGGGGAGGTGGAGGAGAGGCAGTGGGGAATCAGCTTTCCTGCATCAGCACTGGGGACTCACGGTGGGGGGGAGTGGGGGCAGACCCAGCACCGCATTGTCCAGCCTGGCTGACACCCCCTCTGCCTGTTCTCCTTTGTTCCACCCTCCCCACACCACCCATGCAATCTCTGGACATTTGCTGTCCAGTCTTTGGGGATTTTAGAAGGTTGGGGACATGAGGTCCTGATCAACCATTTCAATGCATTACTGTCCTTTTAAGGGACTGTGGGCACTCTAGTCCTTTTTCGTAAATATGGGTCCTTTTTGCCCGTCTTGCTTTCCCAGTAGTGGCATCTGGAAGGGGACTTGGTTACAGTGCCCCCGCACCCTCCTCCCCAGGTCTTGATGTTCCTCTGGTAGGGGAAGCGCCAGAAAGGGCAGTGGACTTGGACACAGGAGCAAGGTCCCTGCAGGGAGTAGGGTCTGAGGCCACTCCCAGCTCCACCAGCAGGGGGACCCCGGTCCTCAGGGTTTTAGGTGCTCACAACAGCTGAAAGCCCTGGTCCAGAGCCGCCTGAGGGAGTGCCGAGGAGCGCTAGTGACTAACTCGTGTACTAGTTTCCTTTTTAAGAAACCATCTCCCAGGCCTTTCTTGCTCAGATGATACTACTTGGCTCTCATAAGCCTGTCTGAATTATTCTGGTCTTCTGTCCCTTCAAACACTTTTTTTTCCCTCTCTCTCAACAAACCTGAGACCCTGTTAGGCTGTAGAACTGGATGGAAATGACCCAGAATGAGCAAAGTCAGAATGCCAGATGATCTGTGGGCACCCCCAATCCATGTGTGGGGTTTCCTAGCCCCTTACAATTTAATTTATTCATGCATTCAGTTGTTACCAAACTTTTCCGAGCCCTCTGCTCCAAGCTGGAGCTCTGTATTGGGGGAACAGCTCTGCAGAGAGCACGCTGGGAACCTTCAGCCAGAGGTGGAACCAAGCCCTTCCGGGACACAGGGAGAATGGGCAGCTGCTAATGGGCAGCTGTGTATTTCCTGGGTGGAGATGGAGGAGCTGGGAGAGAACTGGGCTGGGAGGAGACCGGGTAGCTCCTCACTGCTGGAGCGCTGGGTTACTGGGATAAGGTGCAGGAGTGGCGGCTGGGAGGGAGCAGGGAGGGGTTGAGGGCCTTTGATGGCAGCTCATTCTCTGGATTGTATCCTGAAAACCAAAGGAAACCAGGGGAGACCTGAAAGGGACAGGGAGAATGACACAGTTTGCTCATTTGGGCAGTGAATACAACCCAGGGGGTCGTGTTGAGTTGCGGTACACATTTGAGATAAATTTAAGCAAGACTCTTTATGTTGTGTGGATATCAAAGGATTTGTCTGTAAAAGAACCAGTGTGCTCTTTTTATCATTTTTAAAAATTGTTACCAAGGTGAGGCACCTTCAGTTGCCCTATGGTGGATTTTAAAAGGTGGGAGTTAGACATTTCTAGTAAATGTGGGGAAACTTGGGGGTGCCCAAAGTTGACAAGTGTCCACACAATCCTTCTCTCAGCTTCCCCACATCTCTGGGATGTACATGTTGCCTTTAGTTTTGACTTGATGAATTGGTTCTGGGATGGATTTTCCTGGAAGAGATTTTCAATGACATCATTCCTGTTTTCAGAATTCGGCAAGATGCCACTGCTTCTCTGATTTTGCTGTGGAAGGTCACTGCCACGGGGTTTCAACAGTGCTCCCTCATAGACGGAAGAAGTGTGACCCCCCTCCAGGCTCCCGGGGGCCTTGTCCTCTTGGAGGAGATGCTGACTTTGGGGCACAATCACTTCATTGGTGAGTCACAGCAGTCTCCTCCATACCACGTCTGATTCAGGTCAACCTTGGTTGGTATTTGGACATAGACTGGAAATCTTGCTCAGATAATATGAATTCTAGATATCAACAGTTTCCTCCATTTTAGATATGGTTTGACTTAGAATCAAATTGGTTTCTATTGTAATATTTGCAGTGTGGCTCAAAGTGGAGGAAGCAGGAGCTCTGGGTTCCAGAGACTGTATCGTGAGCCACTTGCTCAGATGTCACAGGAGGGTTTACAGCTTCCTCTGGGCTCCTTGCCCTCACACCCACTGCTGAATGGGCCTCTTGTAACTTTTCACTCTTTCTTGCCTCCATAATTTAACCTCCTTGAACTTGTCACATATCCAGAGAGTTGTTTTTGAGTTTCTCTGTGGAGTAGAAATGTCCTTCAGACAGCAAAGCCCCCAGGTTCCCTTTCCCAGTCCCATCCATACCCCTCCCAAGGGCTGCACTTGGACAGTTTTGTAAGGATGACCTTTCCCCTGGCTTAGCATTCTGACCATTTCTGCCACTTGTCCTCACCCCTCACCTGGCGCAGGGCACTACTCGAGTTGGAACTTGTAACTCTAGCCCCTTAACTTTGCTGATGTGAGGGACTTTATTAGAGCTTCTTCCATCTATAGCAGCCACGCAAAGACACAAGCTGAAGGGTAGAATCTGCCCCTGCCAGTCTAATGCCCCCACCTGTTCCTGCAGCTCATACCTTCTCGTGTCCAGCCAGGTATTCCAGCGTCCTCCTTTAGAGGATGGGATCTTTACACCCGTTTGAAACATTAGCTGGCATTTATGTCCTTTTGGTTGTAACATGGGTTTAAGTTTGGACTGACAGAGGTGCAGGTGGGGATTAATAGGGATTTACCAGCATTAATATAAATTTATCTTTTGAGATAGGAGAAATTCTGTGAATTCACATACAGTTTGAACTCATTTTGCTAATGCAATTTTAAGGAAAAAATGATCTCTCTGGTTGAAATTTATTATTCCTGGGAGGTGGTTTTTTTTTTCCCCCAGTGCTGGTGTTTGTACCCAGGGCCCCTCATGCAGCTCTTGCACTCTCAGCAGGTGCTCTACACTGAGCCACACTCCTGCCCAAATATATTAGTCCTTAGAGGGATAATCTTAAAACATTAATTTCACATACTCAAAATTGAGGGACTCTTTCTCCCCACATTAGACTTTAGGTTATCACGGGGAGGCAATGAATTTGAGTAATGTCATTTCTTTCCAAATACCATTTCTTTCACTTAGAAATGTTGTGATCTGCTGTCTCAGATTTCCTGGCTAGAGCTGGTAGGGCTCCTGTTTGCTGCAGAGCCTGGCTCCACAGCAGAGATCCCTGCCTCCCTGCTCCTCTCCCTGAGGTGGCGGGCGGTCCTGTCGCCAGCCCCTGCAGAGGAGCCATGGCCAGCTTCCCGACAGTGATAAATTGGCTACACCTACACACTGCCAGCCTCCTCCTTTACAAGATCTCTTTGTCTTAAAAGAAACAAGATGTATCTTTTGTAATCAGGGAAGAAGCCTTATGCTTACTACATTGACATGTGTTTAATGCTCTTTTTATTCTGTTAACAAAGGGAGCTTAAAAAATAAAACTAAAAAAACAAAAAAGAGCTTAAGAAAATGATTCACTTTCCTAATCTGGGCTCTTTAGGCCTGAATACGTTTTAGCGAAGACCATTTTGTGAGCACAGTGACACATTCATGTCACAGACGGACAGGTTGGTGCTAATGCAGGTGGGAAGAAAACATCCATGTCAGGGGAGGGCAGAGTTCCAGAGCGGTGTGGTTCAGACCCTTCTGCTCCCTTCTAGGAAGAAGCTTGAAAAACTTACAGGGGTGGACCGTCTCCTGTCTCTCCACTCTATCTATAGACCCCATGCACTTAACCTCTGGCCAGGGCATTTCAGTATTCCCATGCAATATGGCAGAAGGATCCCTTCTGTGTCTTGGGGAGACCAGGTTGTTTGCTGTCAGTAGATTTGAATACCTTTTAAAAATTAATTATTTTTTAGGTTATGGTAATCTATTATGAATTAAGGAGTATAATATATTTATTTTTTAAATCGATACATAAAAAAGCATAAAAGTTACAGGAGTACGGGTCCGCAGGATACTTCAATACACGTGTACCTCGTGTAGCATCTAAATCAGACTGCACACCTCTAGCTCCTCAAACGCTTATTGAACCTTCATGGTGAGAGATTCGCAGTCCTTTCTTCTACACTTGTGAAGTCGTCTGCTGAGAGTGTGATGTCCTGCCCAGGCCAGATGACCCCATGTGCACGATTGAGCCTGTTTCAGTGTGCCCACAGTTAACTTTCTTAGTTTTCCTTCGTTACCATTGATTCACTAACATTTATCCTGTTTCAGGGAAAAAAAGCAGAGACATTTCTACGACGTGTGTGACCCTCATCCCTGGGTCTTCTCTACCAACCTGTTCCCTCCTGAGTTACCACCAGATTTCATTCTCTGCCTTCTCCTTAATCACCCCTTTTGGTTTTCTTCAATGCATCTCTCCCACATATATTATTTGCTTTATGCATTGTTTGGGGGTAAATAACGAAATAACCTCTGTTTATGCCGTCTGCCCCGTGGGGAGCATCAGAGGTGCTCATTAGACTGAGTGACTCAGTCACCCCACAGTTTGTGTTTCCAGGGAGTAAAGTTCATCGGGTTTCCATGAAGCATAGTGTGACTCCCGTGTCTTTAGGAAGTGTAAATATATTTTACTTGCAGTGGCTTGAGCACATTGATGTGAGGGGTGGTCTCAGGGGCCCAAGCAGCCCTCTGGGATGTGACCTCTGAGAGAAAGCTGCTGAAGGAATGGGGAACCATTTCCCCGGTGGAAGCCCCTCTGGACCCTTCCCCAGGCGTTTCCTCCTCTAGTCTCCTGCCCCAAGGGACAGGTCTCCTCACTTCTGCTTGGTGGTCCTCGCTCTGCCGGGCCCATCCCCAGCTGCATTGCACCCCAAACTCTCCCTACCTCACACCCGCAAATCCATTCTTCCTCAAGTCCTCATTTAAACTCTCCTCGTTTGAGTCTCTGATATGGAAATTAGCTGCCAAAGATTCTACTCCACGTGGATTCTCAAATCTCCTTTTACTCTTACAAATTCTGTCCAACACACAGCGGCCCGGGACACTCTGCTCAGTCCTCCCCTTGCCCCAGAAGCCCCGGAAGTCACGTCAGCCTCACCCACACTTCTGCCTACCTGCTTGCTCAGGGGAACACCGATTTCCCTTCCACACTCTTCTCTCCTACTCCATACTTGTTGTTAGCTGGATCGGGCAGTCTATCCCTTTGCCCTTCTTTGAAATTGTTCTCATTTTGAGCCAGATCATTTATCGTCTTCTTCTTCCTGGCAGTGCTCTACTTTCTTACAGTTGCCGTTTTCTCTTCCCTCCTTCGGTTCTCCTGCTCCTAACCCCTGTTTTCTCGGTGGCTTTTATCAGGTACACGTTTGTGCCGAGCTTTCTTATGGTTTCAGCACATTTTTATGTCTAGGTTATAGCAATACGTGTACTGGAATATTTCATCTAGACCAGTGGTACTTCATTTAGGATCCCCAGAGATTCTCCTCTTATAACTTGAATTCTCTTTAATTCACAAAGGAGTAAACAGTGCGACGTGCGGCCCATAGGAATGTCCTGGTATCATTTTTGTAGAATTTTAGCCACAGAGCCCTGGAAATCAATAATTCCTAGAATTTTGAAACTAATTTCTTGGTTGGGTTGGATGGTTTCCAAGTCTGCCCCTCACCCCATAACCTCTTTGTGCATCCTGGGGGCTGGGGAGTCCTCCTTGACCTTACTTTTTAGTTTAAGGCTCTTTTTTTTTTTTTGGTACCAGGGATTGAACCCAGAGGTGCTTAACCACTGAGCTACATTGCCAGCCATTTTTATATTTTATTTAGAGGCAGGGTCTCACTAAATTGCTTAGGGCCTCAATAATTTGCTGAGGCTAACTTTGAACTCCTGCCTCAGCCTCCCAAACTGCTGGGATTATGGGTGTGTGCCACCGCTCAGTTTAAGACTCTTGTTTTGCAAAACGATTCCTATAACAGTGTCTTCACTTCATTCCCTTCTCTTGAGAAACAAGGCAGGAATAGGGAGTTTATAGAAAGGTGAATAATTTTCTCTTGTTAAGGTGATAAGACTTCCCTGGTGCAATAGTCTTTCATGGGCCCAGGGGTTTAGATTTTCATGGACTTACCTGTGCATTTGTCCTCACTGGAATTACAGTCCTGAGGAGATTATAGTCTTTTGAGTCTAATAGTTTATTTAGGCATATTTTAAAAACAACAGAATTCTCTATACCCAACCAGTACTATTATTCTTAGGCAAAAGTTTTGCACTCTGGGCTCAATTGGCCCTGATTTTGGGAGTCACGGCGTGCAAAGGTGTATTTCATGGGTACTGTAGATCTCCTGAAAATGTATTGTGTGCATCTCTGCATCTTTATCAGGAGAGTCAAAACTTCACTGGATTCTTAAGGGCATCTGATTCCCTAGAAATTTTAGAGCCATTGCTTTAAGCTTTGTGTGTGATCCTGTGAGAAGACATAGGACTTTTAAGGTTCTTTGCTTATCCAATGAAGTTTCCTTTGACAGGTGTATCTGCTTCCTAAGTCTATATTGAGGAATTTAATCTAGTTTTATTTACTTATGTTTGTGGGCAGCAGGGCTCTGGGAAATATTTAGTCTGTTAGTTTAGAAAACAGGAACTGCGTGCCTCTATTTCCCAGACACTTTTCTAGTTTGCGAATGTGAAGATGATTTAGGTGTCATCTCTAGGTGCGCGGAGTGGCAGGGAAAGAAGTGCCATGACAAGGAATGTGCAGAAGTAGCCAGAGGACTCAGAGGAAGGAGCAGCAAACTCTACCAGGGAAAGAAGGGCAGGCAAAGTGTTCTCCTGGGAGGTGCGGGATGGGGTGTGGCACTTGGGTGGCCCAGGCCTCTGTGTGATTAATTTAATAG